TAGTAGCACTGCCCGCGACAGAAGAATCCCCCAGTTCTACTTCGGCGTGACGCTGGTTGCCTCCTTTGTCCGGCCTGTTCATGATAGGCAATAAATTATTCCGATTGCGAAAGCTGCGATCGAGAGGTTCGACGTTGATAATGGGATAGATTCAATTCAATTGCTTAGTTGCTGCTATTAGTCAATCAGTAAATGCTGAGCTATCTGGCTCTTTCATGTAGCATCGATCGAAGCGTTCAGACAACGTAGACCTTGTCGCCTAGCCTTGTCATCTTGCATCTTGTCACCTTGTCGCAAAGTCGCAAAGCTTCAATGATGTGCTCCCGTGGTTTTGCACATGGGCGTGGTATTAATACTTTTTAGTACCGTACGGTACGCAAAGCTACCAACAGGTGTACAGGTAGTTTAGCCAGTGGAGCTGTATTTATATGTCATTCAACATGGCTTTTGCGAATATCTCGTGCCAGGCGTTACGTACCCAAAAGGGACTCGACTCGAGTAAGGCTCCTGGCACCATGGTCCTGGCAACGGTACCAGATGACACCGAGCGCACAAAAGAGACTACAAAGCGTTTGGATGGGTGCTCCATGCCCAAAACATGTCGTTGTGTCAAACTTTGACCTATCAGAAGAGATTTTCTCGCCGGGGAAGATCCAGTACCAGCTTGCCGAGGAATGTTGGCTGGCTGGCTAGTGGCTACTAGCTAGAGTGAACTACCGATACCGCAGGAGAGCGAAAGCTTGTTAGAGGGAATTGCATCATTCCACCGCAGTGCGCAACCGTTGCGGCCTGTAAATTTCAGGGCTATGGTGTTTGGATGATGGCCAAGAAATAGATTTATACCACCTCTTCCATCGCTCTTCCGACACTGCCAAAATTGGCTACTGGTAGTCTACTGGTACTTTTGCTCAAGATAGCGAAAGTGCAGGGTGTCAGAGAGTGGGGCAACTGCCGCTGCCTTTTCCGCTTCCTTGGACTTTCTCTCGTGGCCAGTGACGGGGTGCTCCTTTGATTGCCTCTCCGCACGAGTCCGCATGCTTCCAGAAGCCCTGCGAGGGGTAAAAAGCTCCACCAAAAACCAAAAACCACAAACAAAAAAGAGAAGCACTCCAGGTATGTAGTAGATTTTGAACGACAGATCGCTTCTTGCTTTTCTGCATGCCTCATCATTAGATTTAGAAGGTTTCGAAACCAGTGAGCAAATTTGAGTCTTCCTCATCTCATTTTCTAATTCGTAAGATTCCCCAAGGGCATTGGCTGATCTTTAAGATTTAAAGAGGCGACGGAAGGCCAGTTGGCACGAAAGATCTTGGGGCTTACAATCATTCTTTGGTACGATTCTACTGTACTGTTTGAAGCCTGAAAGGGTGACGTTTTAACAAAGGTGAAGCTGGGACGCGTCCATTCTGTTCATGAGCTTTGATACGATATCGTTTGACACGAATGTGTACAAAATCTCTATAGTCAATGCTCATCAGATTATCAAGACATGTCGCGATGTCGCGATGTGCCGTCTTTTTTCCCGCTGCTTTACGAGTTCCACGGTACCGGTACGAAGCGGTCATCCAGCCTGCGAACACAGTCATCATTGTTGTTCGTTGAAAATCTTTCCACTCCGTTTGGCACTCATTATTCTCACAAAGCAACTTGCTTACTTGATCTAGCTAGCTCCTCTATTTGAAACCATGGTGATTTCGTTTGCCCTTGCCCTCACGCTTCTTGTGGATGTTGCCTCCGCTGCAACATCTGGCAAAGCGACTTATTACGGTGGAAACGTGGCCGGGAATGCTTGTGGATTCAACAGCATGAACACGGGATCCTTTCCCTATGGATTCGGTGCTGCCATTGGTGGCAACAATTTTGACAGTGGATATGGTTGCGGTAGCTGCTACCAAATCAGGTGCATTGGCCCCTATGGCTCAAACCCCTCCTGTTTCTGTGATCCAGACCACCCCACTGTTACCGTATGGGCGTAAGTCGAGAGTCGAGGATTCTACTACACAAGTGTTGTCGCTTACCACGAATACTGGATGTATCGACTCACGCCAAGATTCTCTTTCTCTCTCTCTTTCTCTACCCATTGTGTCTGCCAGCAATGATCAATGCCCCGAATGTGGAGATGATCACATTGACTTGAACACTGAGGCCATGGAGTACATTGTTGCCGATGGGTAAGTGGATGCCTTGCTTGAAAGGGTGTATCTATGCATGCAGGCATGGGTCTCACTCACAGTACCCTTCACTTCACTCTGTCTATACTATAGATTGGCTGGCACATGTGGAGAGATTGAAATCGAGTTTGAGCAGGTCAATTGTGACTTTGACGGCAACCTGGAGGTCCGATCCAAGTCGGGCACAGGTCCCTACTGGTATGGATTGCACCTGGACAATGTAGCTGGTTATGGAGCCATCAGCAGTGTTACCCTGGAGGAAGAAGGCAACTTACACAGCTGCGACAAAGCTGGCGGTCCTTCGTTCTGGCAGTGTTATTTGGTGAATACACCTGCAACGGTCCCTATGGATGTCACCTTGGTGGATCAGGGAGGACGGTATCTGACCTGCAGTGGTTGCATTGACAACTTTAATGGTGATACTTCCTATGATTTTGGAAGCAACTATGGATCTGGATTGCCCACTGGCAGCCTTCCAACTGGTCCGTCTTCTCCAGCAACTCCCACGAGATCTCCCACGAGAAGCCCAACCAGATTTCCCACGAGAAACCCAACGAGAGTCCCAACAAAGGCTCCAACTCCAACGGTTGCTGGCACTCCCACTAGATCTCCCACGAGGAGCCCGACGAGAAACCCAACGAGAAACCCAACAAAGAGTCCAACAGCTGGTTCCACTCCAACAGCTGCCACTCCAACAGCGGCCACCCCAACAGTTCCATCGTCACCTACCGATTCAACCCCAACGTCTCCACCGATTCCGAATTGCTTTTCCGAGACAGCTACAGTCGACGTCTTGGACAAGGGAAAGGTTGCTCTCAAGGATCTGCAGGTCAACGATTGGGTGGCAACTGGCGCAGCCACTGAGGTTTATCAACCTGTATATGCCATGGCTCATTACGATCCCATGGCTCTTGCCGAGTTTCTCCGAATCACCACGGCCAACGACGACAACGAACCACTCGAAGTCACGGGCGATCATTTGGTCTATGTCTCAGGCCGCGACTATCCCGTCAAGGCAGGTTCCGTGCAAGTAGGAATGGCACTGCAAGAAGCTGCGCATCTCAACAGCACGGCCACTGTTACGGACATTACAAAGGTCTACCGACAGGGACTCTATGCGCCACTCACTCCCCATGGCTCAATCGTGGTGGATGGAATTGTTGCCTCCAACTATGTGGCTTTGCAAACGAATAGCAACACGGAGTTTGTCAAAGTGGGAGCTGTGGAACTTCCCTTTCTCACCCAAGAGACTGTATTCCACATGGCCCTGAGCCCTCTCCGAATGTGGTGCACATGGATCCAGTCGGAAGGATGCCGTGCGGTTGGCCCTCGTGGGCACCATCCAGTTGTCGATCATGCCATTGAGCTGGTGCGTTGGGCAGAGCAACAAAATGTAGGGTTGCAATGGGCAGTGTTAGGCCTTTGTTTGGTGGTCATGCTGGTGTTTACCCTTGTGGAAAAGGCGTGGCTAAACGCAACCGCCAGCAGTTTTGTGGTTACAATGGCAGTGGCTGCTGCAACTCACTTCTACAGCCGAAAAAAGGGAAGTCAGGTGTAGACGTATGCGTCAACAGGAGTGCGAGCAACAGCTCGTACGGTACATGTATGGAGAATGGGCAAGGAAATCATGTTGTCGCCGTGGGTGGGTGCGGCATGCCTTGGTCTGTAATAGATAAATATAAATAAGCGCTGTTAGGTTCATGGTGCACAGTGAAATCCGTACGTACCAACCTGGTACTGAAAGACGCATCGCATTGATCGTTGCGTTGGAGACAGGCGCTGCTTCAACGATCGAAGTGTGACTCGACTCCAGTCGAGACGACCCGAAACGTAACCAAGCGGTGCTTTAAAGGCTACCGGTACCAGGTACCAGGTAACGGTACTCCCAAGGCTACTCCTCAAGGCTACTCCTCATCCGCTGAACGGTGCCATAGTGAACCCATAACCTCACCACAAGTCGTCCGAACTTGCATCGATGATTACGAAGCAATAGCTCCGAGATCCGAGATCGCTCCACTAGGAGGTGCAACCAGTACCGGTATGACATACTAGGCAATGGCCAAGGTTGGAAATGCCATAGAAGAGGAAGAACAAGCAAGCTCGAAGTGTCAATGGCTCATGCAAAAGAAAGCCTGCTATGATGTGGGATTCATCGTCCGATTGATTTGCCTCGGTGATGGCCCGAGCAAAACGTGCGCACCTCGAGTTTTGCATCCAAACCTGAAACAACCCCAACTGATAAATCTCATTATCTAACACGATGCGAGGGAACGGCAACACCATACCACAGACGTGTGGCTCAGTCCAGATTATCCGACCAAGCAAATCCGACTATCGTGCTCGATGAATACGCACCGTACCGGGTATATGCTTCCGCGATGAGGAACTGTCCTTGCGACGTAAGCACGTCAGGACTGTTGGCGGCTTTGCTTGGTGTGCAAAGAAAGAAATGCCGGTATGTCATAGCGCACCGGTGCACCGGTGCCGTTGGTGGGACAATGATCAAAAGCTTTGAGCTCAAGGTGAGTCAACGGAGATACACGCAACGGAAATTTGCGCACTTATGCCGCGCTCGATGGTGCATCAAAACCTGAAGCCACCATCAACCACATGCATCTTCAAAAGCGCCTGAGAACAGACGTGTGCATAGCCACATCAGGATAGAATTTGTCGTCTGCCATACTTGTTGTGGTACGAGTACAATGGAAGGAGGACAGGGCGAGGAACAGCTCAAAATCTTGTCATCGGCAGCCAAGTTCTTCACAGAGGAAAGGCTGAAGAACTTCTCTGTTGTGGGAAACGATGGTACAAGAATTCGAGTAAATCGAGAATGGCTGATAGCTCGAAGTGTGTTGGTCGGAGCCTTAATGGAGGAGTCAGCTTTGGAGACCTCCGTTCTTCGTATCAATGTCCCCGGAGCCACATTTGAGGCTCTCTATGAGTATCTGTGCACGGGCACAACTCAACTTCTACGCTTTGAGAAGACGATTGGCGCTTCTGTCGAAGAAAAGGATGTCGTTGAGGTTCAAAGCCTCTTGTCGCTGCTGGTGGCTGCGGACTACTGTGAGCTGTCGAGTCTGTCGAACAACGTTTCCGATGGTCTAATGAGATCGCTGGAGGCATGTCCATCGCTCTCCCTTCTCGTGTTGGAGCACTGCAAAACAGACTTTCTTACAGACCTGGCGAAGCGAGCGCAGGCAACCCTGTGGTCCAACCCTTTCAGAGCAATGGATACTGTGGCCATGAAACACCTTGGCGAAGAATGCTTGGATTTGTTATTGCGGGATGAGTTCATCACCGCGGATGAATTCGAAGTCTTCCGACTTGTTCAGAAGTGGGTGGAAGTTAACGGGGAGGCTGCTTCTGCGCCGAACCTCATCGACCACGTGCGCTTAGAAAACATCAGCGCCAAACTGTTATCAGCTGAAGTCAAAGCTTCACAGCTTGTCTCCCAAAAAGATCTCTTGGAGGCCTACGAGAAACAAGCGCTCCGAGCACAAGCGATCCACAATGACGTACCGCAAGGTCCTCGCTACCTTCCAAATTGGAGGCACACCTCCACGAATCGCGCGATCGGACATGAAGAGGAAATGCTGGACATTTTGGACTGTTCGCCAATGAAGGTCGGCGAATATCGCTGGGCCTTTCACGTTCAGGGGATGTCCCAGCAGCCAGCTTGGATTGGCGTCGCACTAAGCGGCAAAGACATGGACCGCGAAACCTCCCTGGCAAAGCACGAGTATGGGTGGGCCTATAGCAGTCAAGGCGGAATTCGACATGGCGACCGAAACGAACAAGGAAATCCGTGTTTCAAGGCAGGCTCGAAAGTGACGTTCACGTTAAATCTTTCCGATGACAACGAGACCAACGGGACTCTGTCTGCTGCCATTGACGGCGGAGATGAGTTTCAGCTCTTTTCCGATCTCCAACGCGAGTTGGATGGACCAGGCGGCTTCGTCCCAGCTGTGTCCCTTTTTGCACCGGCAACCATCGAATTCATGGGAATCCAGAGGCTTCGGTAGAGGCAGCCTGCCAACGCTGACGAGTCCTAGCACAGTGCTGGTTGTGGCTGGAAGAATTGAGACTCTGGAGCCTCCCAAGTCGATGTTGAGTTGTTATAACCGTGGTGTACATGTTTTTAAAATTAAACCAACAAGGAGTATGCATCAAAATTGTAGACTCTCTCAGTTCGCAGACACTTTCTGACAGCCACCTGTACTTCAATTCCACTGGGTGATCTCACGCACAAGAACAAATGCTGCAATCAAGCAATGATTCACTTGAGCAGTCGACTTCAAACAAAGCCACCATGCTACAGTCTGGATTGGGCACAAAGATATTACTGGCTGTTGATTCCACAGAACACAATACAGTTGCACAATACCGGGGGCACAAACTCTCTGGAAGCCTCCCAGAAAACTCATTCCCCAGCAACATGATTGCACTTGCAGAAGCATTAAAATTTCCCAGCTCACTGGGAATGGTTCCTGTAAGGCTGTTGAATGACAAGTCCAGAGTTTCCAGGCTTGTCAAAAGGCCAAGCTCTGATGGCAACCACCCACTCAGCTGGTTGTTGCTCAGATCAAGTGTTTGAATCAGGGATGTCTCCTTCTCAACATAGTCATCAAGTGTAGCATTGTATTTCGTAAGAGTGGTCAAGAGCTGCCCAAGTTCGGATGGGATAGGACCGGATATCTTATTGAAGGAAATGTCCAGCACTTCTAATCCAGTCAATCTTGCCATCTCGGTCGCAAGTGAGCCAGTCAGTGAATTGTTATGAAGGTCCAGAAGAAGCAACATAGCACAGTTGGATTCATAGGCACCAAAGAATGAATCAGTCCCCCAACAGCTAGATGAGTTCTCAAGATTTCCAATTTCTGAAGGTATGCTCCCAATCAAGCCATTTGATGACAGGTCCAGCTCAATGAGCTGCTGCAGGAGACCAACTTCCGATGGAACACTGGAGCTCAGCAAGTTGTGAGATAGCTGGATTGCCTTCAAGTTTGATAAGCTGGACCAGTCCACATCAGGAAATGCTGAAATGCGATTGCTGTCCATTGTCCAGGACTGCAAATCTGTTAGTCTCCCAATTTCCACGGGTATGGAAGTGAGCTTGTTGTTCGACAAGGATAGCCAACCCCATCTACAAGGCTCCAGATTTGTCATTTGTTCTATTTCCTTCGGCAAATGCTTTATCTGGTTTCCATCGAGGTGAAGCGCGACAAGGCTTGTCAAGAGGAACAATTCACTGGGCAAAATGGCTATATTGTTGTTGCTAAGATCCACCTCCCCGACCGAGTCTCCCAACCAACCAATCTCACTTGGGATAAAGGAAAGTTGATTGTCCTGTAAATCAAGCTGATAAATGACAGATTGATTGAAACTGAAAGGAAAAGCAGTAATTGAGTTTCGCTCCATGCTGAGATATAGCAAATTTGACAACAGCCCAATTTCACTAGAGCAAGCAAAGGCATTCACAGATTGTGTCAGAACCCAGTGTAATAAGATATTCCCTGTATCGATACAAACAAGTTACCTTGGGATTGTCCCCTCGATCTGATTATCTCGAAGCAGAAGGAAATTCAAACTTGTCATCAACCCAATTTCTGAAGATAGTCCTGTCAGAGAGTTGTTTCTGGCATTAAGCCTAATCAGTCCACTACAATTTGCCAACTCAGGAGGAAGTGTGCCAGAAATGCGGTTGGACTGCAATTCCAGGAGCTTGAGACCCGATAATGAACCTAACCCTGCTGGCAGGGTACCTGATATGGCATTGTCATCTAAATGGAGCCCAGTCAGGTTAGTCTTTCCTAGGATTGCTGGGATGGAACCAGAGATCTGGTTGCTGTGCAGGTCCAGTTTTTGCAGTAATGGAAGCCTCCCAACCTCTGAAGGGATCTTTCCTGTGATTTGATTGGTGTGAAGGTTCAGGTTTGTCAAGATGGAAAGCATACCAATCTCCGAAGGAATACTCCCAGTGATACCAGCATCATGGATATCCAAAATTGTGAGCCCAGTAAGGAGGAATACTTCAGGTGGCAGGGTCCCATGAACTGGAGGGCCATCCCAGGTGGAGAGTTTGAGCTTCATGTAGTGGAAGTGGCCTTCATCATTGCAGTTGGAGATCCAAGGATCTGGAACATAGTCCAAGTTAATACCTGAAACCATCATGCAAGCATGACGGAAATATCCTTCTGGCATCCAATCCATTGTTGAGGGACCCTCCTGGTGCGAATCCAATTCTGTAGTCCAGAAACATTCTGAGTTACCATAGTCCATCCAGTGGTAATCATCAGGCCAGTTCTCGAATGAAAAGTAGAAGGTCCCCAATGCAAATAATTGCTGTTTTTGCCAATTTGGCATGCCATCAAATTCTGGATGTCGAAATGTCCAGTCATAAGCCTTCTGCTGTGGGGTACCAGGCCTACCAATCGCCTCAGCTATATTTTCTGGGAGCCCTTTGATGGCTAATCTTGATGATAATGGTGCCTCACTGGGCAGGGATGATGGGGAGAATGAGGGCATCACAGAGGTGGTTGGTTCAGTAGATGCCATTCGAGATTCCGCGGTTGATGTTGGCGGTGTCTTTTTTCTGGTCCCGAGAACCACTGCCAGGACAATCACCACGACAATCACCACTCCCGAAGCCAGCCATTTCAACGCACCTATCAAGGCGCGCCTCTTACTCTCAGCCTTCTGTTCTTCAATATCATTCTCATCAATGAAATCCAATTCTTCAGCAAATGGCAGATTCTGGTGGCTTGGTTCAGTAACCAGATTGGCAACCATCAAACCAGATCGACTACTGTGAATGCCATCAACTTGAAAGTCTTTAGATTTTTGGCTGGTGCCCATGTCTGACATTAGAGACGACATGGATAGTGGTTGAACGATTCCAATTCGAGAATACCGCATAGTGTCGGCCCGTTGCAAGACAACTCCAGGTGCTCCTGCATAAGCACCTGGCCTGGATTCAGCGGCGCTGGAAGAAGACACTTGTGCAGCGGTCTTAATGCTTGCATTACCAGGAGCATCAGCCAATTCTTCTGTCTTTTCTTCTTGTTTATTGGCCTTTTCCGCCCTGGCCTGGACAATCTTTAGAATTTCTGGGTCGTCATAGTCCTCTTCTAGCGCATCTCTTCTATTTCTCAGGACGGCCTTGGAGGTGTAGTGACTTGGTGCTACTTGGACCGGAGAATGATCTTCAGTATTAGAGGCAGCGTTGCCCTGATGAGCTGTTGCTCTCGCCCTTGCCTCTAGAATCTTGACCATCTCTAGTTCCTCATCGCCAGCCACTCCATCGCTAGTCACTTCATCATCATTCGACGGTCCAGTGCTTGGCGCTGGTGTGCGTCGGGTAGTAGCGCCATGCTGTCGTCGCGTTCGGCGAGTTCGTGCAGGTGCCTTTGCTGTGCGTCTTGAAGAAGAGGACGCTTGGACCGCATGGTCGTCCTGTGCCTTGTTCAGCAAGGCTTGGCTTTCATCCTCGACTCCAGTGTCTCCTTTTGCCCGTGCCTCTGCAATCTTGAGTAAGTCTAGCTCGTCAAGACCATCATCATTGTCATCGTTGTTGTTGCGCTTGATCTTCATGGGGTGGATTGTCATTTTTGAAGGGGGAAAGGGAGGTGACTACTACTGTATCGTACTGCTCGATGCAGATGGTTTGTGGTTGGCTTTGGCTGCAGGTCCGGAATTGAGCCGAGTTCACGCGGTGCACAGCCCGTAAGGTTTACGGAAAAGACTTCCGGGGGTTGAGTTTCCGTTAGCGGACTGCGCCATTTCGGAGCCATTCGGAAGCTGAAATTCCGTAAATTCGAACATTGTCTGCTTGTGGCTCAATTCCGGACCTCGACTAGCATAGCTAGTCTATTAATAACGAAGCAATGAGTGGTCTGCTTGGTGCTGGAGCGCCAAGGACTACTACCGGTAGCTAGTACCTAAAACTTAAAGAGTGAGGTGAGGGTCAACCCGTGGCAGACGCGGAGGCACACTGTCAACCATGGTGAGGCTCTTTTGCGGGGCTGCGAGCTAAGGACTATGAAGGCTTGGTGCAGAAGGAAGGAGTTCCAATGACGACCGAAGAAATAAATGTAGTTTCTGTGTCTGTGATTCTCGGCAATTATTCCCAGCCAGTTGTTACATGTACTGCATGAAATAAATTTGCTACTACTGCTACTGGTACTGCTAGCTAGAAGTGCCCATTACCGCAGTGACGGTTACTGTCACCATGATTGCAAGGAATCCCAACTGGGTCCCGCAATACTACTGTTTCTTTTTGCCAACATCCTTGTTCTTTTTCCATCCAATGAACTTTTTCTTTTTGGCTTCCTTGTCGGTACAGGCGCACCCATAATAGTCATGCTTGTAGACCAGGTTGCGTAGCATTTTATGAAAGTGTGTCCCAGTCAGAACCTGCTGCACGGTGGCGTAGTTCTTGAGGGCATGTTGTTGCGTCCAAAAGACTTGTTCCTTGCGTTTGAAAGATTCTGCAGCATGAAAGATGTCGTACAGAGCAATAGGTAGTTTGGAATTGGGTTGTACGAAATTCAAAATTCGTTTCCATTCCAATTCCATGGCCGACGTCGGTTCTGGTGGCCGTTGGTCCGGTGGAACCTTGCTGTAGTCAACATCAATATTGAGCGGCACCTGAAAGGATTCCACTGCACTGGTGACATTCAACAATTCCTTCCATTCCGTAAACGGGAAGATAGTTTCGTGATCCACGACAATGTGGGCAATCTTTTCTTTTTCCAGCAACTTGTCAATGGCTTCTTCCTTTTTCTTCCATTGTGTCAATTGCTTCAACAATTTGGTTTTATCCAGTGTGATTCCCTGCATGGGACCACTCTCCTTGTCATTATGCTTGCGCCGCAGTACTGCCTGCAAATGCTGCTCCATGCGTGTTACCATGTCTAGCAAATTGCGTCGATACCGAATCACCTTGACACTGTGTTCCGGCCACTTATCGAGCAGATCCAATGATTCCTTGAGCTTGGTTTCGGCGGACGTGCCCCCCGTCATGAGTGTTAACCAGGGGAATCCAAGCAGATTAGAATCCTTGCCTTCGTCTCGATTATCCGGGATTTGTTGACTGCAAAGACTGGCTTGTACCCAATGCCCGTGATTGTTGCCTTTCAAGCCCGACCAGAATCGTTCCTCCTTGGCAGGATCCATGTGATTGAGGAATTCGTACTGGGGAATGTGGTAGGGTTGTCGATTATCAGCATCCACCGCAATGGAGCCGGGAGGAGCAATTCGTTCCAGTACATGCCACAGGAGGTCGGTGGATGTATCCTCCATGCCCATGACAATGACGGCAGGTGCGACTGGATGTTTCTTTTCAACATTTGGCTTGTTGGCGCAAAAGTTGGCTGTTTTGGGTTCGGCTTGTTTGGAAGCTTTGCCCAACGCTTTGGCCAACGCCTTGACCACTTCGGGATTGTCAGCAAAGTCCTGTTGCTGCTCGTCCGGTTCTTGTTCGTGGGTTCGCCGTTGCTTTTTGGTTGCAGCCTTGGGTGATTCATTGATGTTTTCCGTGTTTGGATGCTGTTTGTCCGAGTCGTTTTTCTGTTTCTGTTGCTTGGACTTGGTCGGTTTTCCTTTCTTCTTTTTGTCGTCCTCATGGTCGCCATCGGCGTTGTCGTGTTGATCTGTCTCAGTTTCCTTGTTCTGTTTTTCAGTTGCGGCCGGTACGTCTTCCTTCGTTTTGTCATGTCCTTTTTGTTTCTTCTGACCTTCCTTCTTCTTCTTTTTGTCGCCCTGCTTGGATTCAGACTTCTTCTCTTCATCCTTCTTGTTGTGTTTGTTACTGTTGTCGTCCTTCTTGGATTCAGGAGTTTCATCTTCTTCCTCCTTCTTTCTGTTTCCCTTCTTGGTTTCAGGCTCTTGAGCTTCGCCCTTCTTGTTGTGTTTGTTGCTCTTCTCGTCCTGCTTCGTTTCAGGCTCGTTGTCCTCTTCCTTCTTCTTTTTGTTGCCCTTCTTGTTTTCAGGCTTTTTGTCTTCCTCCTCCTTCTTGTTGTGTTTGTTGCCCTTCTTGGTTTCCGGCTTTTCCTCTTCGTCCTTCTTGCTGTTGCTTTTGTCACTCTTCTTGGATTCAGGTTCTTGATCGTCATCCTTCTTCTTCTCACTTTCCTTCTTCTTCTTCTTTTTGTTACCCTGCTTGGATTCAGGCTCTTGGGCTTCCTCCTCCTTCTTGTTGTGTTTGTTGCCCTTGTTAGTTTCCGGCTTTTTCTCTTCGTCCTTCTTGCTGTGTTGGTCGCTTTTGTCATCCTTGTTGGATTCAGGTTCTTGATCGTCATCCTTCTTCTTCTGACCTTGCTCCTTCTTCTTCTGTTTGTCTCCCTGCTTGGATTCAGACTTCTTCTCTTCCTGCTTCATGTGTTCTTCTTGCTTGTGTTCTTTCTTGTTGTCCTCTTGTTTCTTTGATGCTTGCTTCTGTTTGTTGTCCTTTTTGTTTTTGTTGTTCTTGTTGTTGTTTTTGTCGTTGTCCTTCTCCCCCAGCATTGCCAGGACTTCTTCCATGCTCAATTTTTTGGCATTCTTTCCTCCTTTTTGCTGCTGGAATGCTTTTTGTAGTTCTTCCTTGAGCATTTCTTTCATGTTCTCTTCACCGTCACCTTTAGGCTGCTGTTCGGCTTGTTGGTGTTGTTTCTTTTTCAGTTCCCACTGCTTGTTTTCCTTTTCCAAGGCTTCTTCGGCTGCCTTTTTGTTTTTAAATTTTTTGGAATTGTGATGAATGACCTGAGGTGGTCCTCCTCCCTTTTTCTTCTTATCCTGTTTCTTTGGCGGATGGTCATTGTGCGGATGGGCCGTCTTGGCGTGGTGCTGTTTGGCTGGAGGAGAATCGTGTTGTTCCGCCGCACGTCGTCGTGGATTCCTGTTTTGTTTTTTCATCAATTTGTCCGCCGACACTTTGGCCGATGTGGTCGCGGAATCTAGCTAGCATGGACACTTCGACGTGGACCACCAACAAGACAAACATCATTGCGATCCCACCCACACCCAACAAGAACCGACGTTGCCGTTTGGCGCGATTTCGTTTTTGTCGTCGCAGTTGTCGTAACGTCCATGCCTGCGATGTTCGCGCCGCCATGTCCTTGTCATTATTATGAAGTGATTGATCATCGAGCAATGGAGAATCCGGTGACGACGACGACTGGGGTGTGCGATGTAGAATCTCTTCCGACATGGTAATAGTAGTAGTAAGTAGTAGTACCTATTTATTATTGTGTGCTGTTACCCATGGACCGTACGGTAGCAGTGATGCCAATAGATACGTTGGTTGTCGAGCGGAAGCCTTTCAGCATTGTGAGAATAATCGTGAGGACCAAGACCGTTGCGAAAATGGTTAGATGCAACCTTACTCGAAGGGACATTTGGTCATTGGATTTGGAGATGAGCGGTCACAAATAATGGTTGACTCCCACACCTTTGTGCTTAAGCTTGTTTGCCACGTTGGTGATTGCCGTATTGTACCGGTAAGACAGTGCAGTAGTCGTCAAGCCAAGGAACTGTGTGCCTTTGTTGCCAATGGATAGCTGGCCTTGAGCTGCCACTGACTGGTTAGCAGCCAAAGCTTTGTCTAGCTAGCCCTGATCGTCTATGGCTAATAGAAACCCTGGCTGGCCCCATTTTCAGGACCTAAATACAAGACTTCCGTACCTTCCGTACTGAAGTACCGGTAATATGTGGGTATTCGACAGGCACGGTAGCGTAAGGGCGCATGCGAAATAAAAGCAAGGACTCATGATTAGTCTAGCTAGCTTGCCTCGTCCATACGTCATGATGCACAGAAAAGCCAGTCTAGTATACCTACGGTACAGCAACCCGATGGTTGTGCAGCGAGCGTGATCTGCGAATCTTCAATCCTCAGCTGGCCTCATCCGCGGCTAAGCCCATGAAGAGGAGCGAGGGGGGGCTAACTAAGCTAGGCAGAGCAGGGCATCGGTGGTGGGTACCGTAGCATTGGGAGAGAGTGCCAACATGAAAATGTTGCCATGTTTCGCCGTACAGTACCGGTTGTACCGGTGGCACGAGAAACGATCGAGCTGGCTCTGAGACTAGCTAGCTAGACTACTATTAATAGCTACTACTAGCTAGAGTAGTAGTGGTGGCTAGCTAGTTACTAGCTAGACTACTGTCACTCGTCACTCATTCGAATAGATAGATCGATTCGATTGAATCATTCGAATGATCATTCGACTCGTCACTCGAATGAGATTCGATTCGAATCGAATAGACACGATTAGAATTATGATTCGATTCGATTCGATTCGATTCGATTGATCATTCTGTCATGACGGAGGTCACTCCGCAGTTCCGCTCCGGAGCTCCGTCGAACGAAGCTGGCACCAAGCTCCGCAACAGGAGTCAGACAACAACAATAACCCACCGTCTGCTAGCTAGCTATCCACAAGACTACTCTCTCTTCTTGCGTGTGTAGGGTCCACAGTTGGTACTCATCAGTGGCTCAGTCTCGTCTCATCACCCGTGTGGTTTTTCAAAATTATCCATCTGGCAGAATCTGTCATCCCAAACATCTGGCAGAATCTGTCATCCCAATTGGAGGTCACCATGATGAGCTCACTTTTTTGTTCAACCGGATTGCTAGAGTTGCATACCCAACCGAACAAGGAAGACTTTCGCGATTGTTGATAAGCCTAGGCCAGATCAACCCCCCAGACCTTATTCAAGTCTACTTTTACCTTTTCTATCCATCTTCAATTCAATACCTATCAATTGCAAAATGAAGTTCTCTTCTTCTATCATCAAGCTGCTCTCGTGGTCCACATGGACCACCGACAACAACAACAGCAACACCAAGAAGACCCCTGTTCTCCATGTCGCCAAGGAGATGACGGGCAACAACAACAAGGATGTTCCTGTGACAGAGGAAGTCCCAATCAAGTTCCAACTGGACGAGTTGGACAAGACATGCGTCGAAACAGCGGCACTGTTGCACGGAAAGCATCCTGATGTGGAATTCCAACAGCACGGTCGCTACCTAGGTGCCTACGACCTTTCCCTGGTTCCTGCGGATCAGCATGGTCACTACGGATACGACAAATACAACCAGCACCAGCCCAAAGGCTGTCGCATCCAAACCAGTCATTCAGCCAACGCTCGCTGGAAGACCCATTACGGTCAAGACACCGAACGGAGCAATGGAAACCGTTTATCCTTTGCTCCCGTCAACACTGTAGTGGGGTACTCTTCTGACGACAGCGAACAAGCTGAGAACCGTCGTGTCTATCGAGACATGAACAAACAAGTGCCACAGGCCCGATACGAATTCTGGCAGGAAGCCCAACAACAATTCATTTCTGTCGGCACACAGACACCCCACGAACGCGTCTTGGATCTCGTGCAGTTGATTCAAGAGTACGGATACCAACAAGTGGCCAAATGGATCACCAACAACCAATGGTTCCAAAGCGACAAAGCATACCTACGACAAGCCAAACTGTACATTCAAATTGATGCCGTGCATCAAGACCTCGAGGGACTTGTTCGTTTCATCCAGGCGAAGAAAGGAAACGACAAGCTAGTCTCGCACTGGTTCATGGTCAACGAAAAGAACACTTACATGTTCGAACTCGCCATGTGCCACTTGCATCTCGGTGGTATTCAGCGCAATGCCAACGACGAAATTTGCACCTTGAATACGCGAGAACAGATTGCCAATCGACGATTTGTCTATCGCAAGGTCAAGGACGTCTGCATGGAAGATGCAGCACCCGTAGTAGTAGAACAACAAACAACAACAACTAAAGACGTTGAGGCAATAGAAAAAGTCTCGACCGTCGACGACGACAAGATGGCATCCGATGCCACAATCACATGCGAAGCAGTGGTGGTTCCCGCGTGCACAGCAGTGGTCCCATACATTCAAAAGTGGCATGTGAAACACTTCAAGATCAGTGTGTATGGACAACAACCATTTGTATTGGAGATACGAATGATAAATGGCGTCCTACTTGGAGTGGTACCCAACGACATTCTCACAGCATTGATGAAGGATGGTGGAGACCTTGTCAAGGAATTCATGCGGCGGCACAAGACACTACGATTGGAGGCAGGCGTTGCCTCAGACGGTACGGATTACGAATTCGTGACTGGCCAAGTGGTAGCTGATGAGGAACCACTACTGGTCGAGGAACAACAACAAGTTGATGGTGATGAACCACTGGTCGACAACCGAGTCGATGAGGATAACAATGTGATCACAGCACAATCAACATTGCGACGGTCAAAGAGACGCATGGCGGCGATTGCATCTCAGAGAATCGCAGAGCAAATGAAGCCACGGCGGGTGGCAGAGCAGCCTAGAAATAATAATACACGTAGACGCTCGGAGGCCAAGAAGTCGACAAAGCCAAAGGTGAAGGGCAAGAAAAAGACGAAGGCGAAGCCCAGGAAGAAGAAGAATACGACGGCACCTGTGACGGACACACAGCAGCAAACAACAGTTCAGACGACAACAACTCTTTCTGGACGGCACGTCAGAAAGCCTGACCGGTACATTCCAGTCTAGGGACAACAGGTAAGTAAGTGGGGCGGCGACAACGGATTGTGGGGACTACTAACACATTAATACAATACACAACGAGCAAGCATCTGGTGGGGTGCAGGGCTATACAACAATTTTGCAGAGATGAATACAGTTGGTTCAATTGAAGGGTCACATCGAAGGTAGCCAGGTTTGTGGTTCCTGTGCTAGGCAGCCTCTATTGCAGAGTGCTTGTCCGAACGTCCTCCACGCGACGAAAGTCCAAAGTTAATACCCGTGACACCCGACAACCAACCTCTATCATTGATGATGCTATGCTTTAATACCCTTCGGGCTGGGGGAAACAATCTGGGAAACAACCTAAACTAGAACAATAACACATAGTAGAGAATCTTTACAACAACAACGTCAGGACTTCCTTCAGTGCGGTAGTTGTAGTTGCGTAGTCATATGTAGGGCAAGCCTGGATCATTGTATCCTAATAGAAAGTTGTGGAAGAAGAATCAAATGGAACGACCAATCCAATGATTGAAACTTGAGTTCCTATGCGTGTTGGTTCTATGGGACAAACAGCTTCTTTTAATTATTGCTGCGTTTAAGTTTGCTTACCCTGAATTATCTATCGGCAGGGGGCCTCAGATAGGACGGTGGCAAGTTCACGTTCAGTTGCTTGACCTTCACCACACTCTCATTCTCCTCGGAATATTCAACGCCCATTTGCTTCGCAACCAACTCCAACGCATTGAACACCGGCTCGTGTCTGGCGTTTGCAACTTGCAGCACCACATTGCCATTGCCGTCCTTGATCTTTCGATCGGCTCTCCTGGTAAGCCTCATGCCCTTTCTAACAAGAGCCCGCTGTTGGTCGATATCTCGGTCTTCCAAAGCCAGTCGGTTCGCAATTCGAAGGCACAGCTCTGCCACCAAGTCATGCATCGACCAGCAGAGCCCGGTATAGACGCTATCTACGAATTCATCCATTACGCCACTGTCATCATTCTCCAAAAGCCATTCCGCAGCTTCGTCCAAGTCACGGAATCTCGCAGGATCGGCACAGATATCCAGCAACCACACCAAAGGCTTGAAACAACACATACACGGCGTGAAGCCATTCGGGCCGTGGTGCTTGCGAAATGGCGAAATCACGTAGTCCTTCAAAAGCTGGAGCATACGTTTCTCCTGCCCTCTTGGCTTTAGCACAGCAATAACAATCAACAGCAGCTCAAAGTTGCCAAGCGTATTCGTGGGATCCATGAGGGGCAGTAGATCTTGAATAACATACTCGCAGACTGCCACAGCTTCCTCCGAGTTCCCGAGCTGCTCGTGCCACAATGCGCTAAGGGAGAATGCTTGAGCCGATCGGTCCGTCCCGTATACCCCGGCAATGGCTGCCGAATGCGCTTCAAAGCTGTAGATTTCAGCCAACTTTTTGAACTCGGCAAGTGCCCCCGTGTAGTTGCCACGACGCCCATAAGCCTCGGATAGCATAGACAATGCTCTCGTATGGTGAATTGGATCAAGGTGCAACTTACTCTCTTGGACGAACTTCTGCGCAAGGTTGAGTTCAAAGTGGCCGTTTTGATCCTGGGGTATCTTCCCCAACTTGATCCACGCAACAATACCAGAGTAGATTGGAAAGACGATTGAACGGTCCGCAATCTCCATCGCAGCCGGACACCGTTCATATATCTCCAATGCATCCAACCACGCCTGGGCAGCATCGTTCTGACCCTTTTCTTCGTCCACTTCGTTGGTCCCACGATTGCGGCCCTTCTCGACGAGCTTTTTCATGATGTATTCCAGCTCTTTGGGGGTGAAGTTGTTGATTTCCTCGTTGGTGAACCCACCAATCTCCATTTCCTTTCTCTTGCAGTACCGGTCATACATATCTTTGACGAGCTGTTCTCCAGTGCTTTCCCACTCTTTTCTATTTTCTAGAGCATGATTGAGACATTCGTTGCTTGCAACGCCAAACACGCCAGACTCGGCAAGACGCTTAGCCAAGGGGATGACGTGCTTGTCAAAGAAGGAAAGTTCTTCCTGGTACCACGTTTCCAGAGGGTTGCAAAAAGATTTTCCAGCTTCATAAGAAATGAACTTTTCTCGATACAGGCGTTCATTCCACTGTGTACCAACAGACGGGCTAAGATATACACTATATCACAACAACCATCTTGCACACATTTGCTCTGCTGCTTACCTTTTGGTGAACTTTCCAATGCTGCATTGCGTGAGAAATGTCACTAGCTTGGACCAGACACTCCACAACTGCAGTCGCTTTCAAGTCGGCGTCCTCCTCCTGCTGTAGTGTGCTACTGTCGCACTCCATGTGAAAGGCTCTGTCCCACCGTTTGTGACGCAACGCTTGCGATCTTCCATTGTTCAAATCAGTTGCCAGAAGACAGTTCACAAGCAATTCTCGGAATCTCTTCAATTCAGACTCGTTGGAGAACAGGCACTTCTGCAATTCGGCATACTCAGGGTCGACAAGCAGGCTCCAAGAAAGGTCGATGCTGTTCTGTTCTTGGACAGATTCATGATTGTACTTCTCGCTCAGTTTTGGATTGAGTCTCGTGAGTTGTCGGCTGCTCAGGCCTCTGTGTCCGCAGTCATGGACACATGCAGCAAAAATCACTGCAAATTGACTAAGGGCATCGCTGGCAATGCAGTTCATGTATTGCCGAGAAGCACTCTTGGTGGAAGTGAAGCTCTTTGATGCCATGGATGCCTCTGGTCCCCAATCATCGTCATCATCCTGCACAAAGCACCGATTCAATAGTTTCTGGGCGCTCATGGTTGTATGCGCGGCATGATCAAATGAGTGATATGGGTTCTTCTCGTCGTAGAGGGCGGCAATCTTGGTCACAAGAGCCCGGAGCTGTTGTGTGGCCTTGGCGGGTAGATTGGCACTTGATGGCTCATCTGTGATCGTGTCCCTTTCTTCTGCCTCGAGCGTTCCAGCTGGCCTGATGACATTGACGAATTCTTCTGACGGCACGGCGCCATGAGCCACTCGGCCCAGAACTTCTTCGGTGATATCGAAGTCTGATGGTGCGTTGGTGCCGCGTTGAACCATAATTTTCAGCAGCTGCTCGGTCAGCAGTTTGTTGACCCAGGCAACCAGTCGCTTGTTCTTGGCAGCTCTACTCATGGGCGGAAGCGACATCATGAAGTCATTTTCGGCCTCATCCCAGACTTGGCGCCTCGTTGGACGCTTGGGAGCATTGTCGGCCGCTAGTAGGGCCGAGGCTGCTGCTGCTGCTGCTCCAGTATTTGAACCCTTCCCAGACCTTCCCGATCGCATCGACATGGTAGATTTCTGGCCATGGTACATGGACGCGCCGCGGCCCGTCAAAGGGCTCGTAATGACGACAAAGTACGTTTGGATATCGCGTCCGTCATCTGTTTTGGTGACACATTCCTCCCGTTTCTGAATCCAGTCCTCCTTCTCGGCCTTGCGCAACAATTCGGCAGTACCCTCTGAAATCTGGATCCGATGTCTGTGACTGGTCGTTTCCATCCTTTGTGCAATTCCAACCGTCTTTCCCAGAAGCTGAAAGCGTCCTCCAAGAATACCAGCCGTCAAGCTTCCACTGTGCACACCAATCCGAAGCCGCAGCAACCCAGTATCAGGTCCGAGGGTTCCTTCCAATCCATCCACAATGTTCACCATGCTTTGCATGATTTGCTTGGCGAACTTTATCATTCTCACAGCGTGGTCGGGCTAGTTGCAGAAAAGAGGGTGAGATTTATTTGATAAGCACTTCCCGCCTGCATACAGACTTTCACCAAGTGGCTCGGTATGATGTTCTGAACGTACCTGTTCATGGGGAACCCCCGTAACCGCCTGATATGATTCCGATGTGGTTTCTACCTTGGTGATTTCCAATCGTCGTGCTGCGTCGTCAAAGCGTCTATGCAACTTTTCCAGCAACAGAAAGATCTGTTCCGGACCACGCTCCGAGCTCCATGCCGTGAAACCTGAAATGTGGGCGAATAGGACCGTGGCATCGGGATAGAAATCGGGCGTAGATTGCGGCGCAAAGGATGATGGTTGAGACGTGGATTGAGCACATGTAATTTCTTTGGTGGGCGCCGTCAAGGAATCATCATCTCGAGCACCACCAGTCGCCGGGGTGGGATGATCCATGTTTTGCGATGTGTGCGACGACAAGGACATTGTCATGGATCGGTTGTTGAAGGACATTTGCCTACTTGTGCTGGTGGTGGTCTGAGTGGGCATGATGGTATGACTGGAGGTGACAACCATGCCGGATGGTGGTCGGTCGCCCTCTTGTTTGTCACGATTGTCAAATCCCCTGCAATCGTCACGTTCCGGCTCCTTTTCTTCTTCTTCAAACCGGACGACGTCTTCGTGGTTGTTCCTCGTAGGAGTTGCCACGACTTCAGTAGGTTCTTGGTCCTCCTCGTGTACCGAAGCCGTCGAGGGCACGGTTTCGGACACACTATTGTTTTCGCCCGGAGCTACGGACACCGCTTGTGCCACGACACTATTATTTTGTTGGCTTTGTGGTCTTTGCGACCGCGGTTCCTCCTCTCGTCGCGGTTGCTGTGGTTGCTGCTCCTGCCGGCGCTGTGGTTGCTGCTCCTGCTGCCGTCGTCGTCGTCTTTGCGACGAAGGGTCCGGTGCTACACTAGCTTGTCCTGCTGCGCCCTCGGCAGCCCACCGTACGGTGGCTGCCGGAGGAACCGACCTTGGTGGAGTCTCCTGCTGTGGCTGTGTCGCAACTCTTCTCGTCGTACTCCTCGTCGTCAATCGTTCGGACAACGCCCGGCCCGACGTGGATTGTTCCGCGGGCGGGTTCGATGCGATGGGAGTAACGGTGGTACTACTTGTTCTGGAACCAGTTCTGGAACCAGATGCATGACGACGAGTACCAGTAGTTCTTGTGTGTGCACCATCACCACTATCGGTACCACTACCAGCAGTAGCAGTAGCAGCGAGTCGTCGTAGTTCTTGTAGTTCGTCTTGGAGAGCACAATCGTACTGAATGGCAATCAGGGCCACCACGACAAAGCCAACCCCGGACACAATCAAGACAATCAACTTCCAAATGCTACCTTGAAGAAACGCAAACACGATACCCGAATCGGCACCACCTCCACCTCCAGCAGCCCAGGCAGCCCACACCGGTACAAAGATTGCTTGCACCAGGAACATGCCTACCAAGAGTCCTTTCCAATAGTCCGATGACACTTGTGCACTCGAGGCGCTTCTCCTCTGTCTCATGCTCACGTTCGTCACGTGTTGAAGGGCATGGCAAATCTGTTGCTCGACGGCCTGTTTCATCTCTGCAACCGCCGTCGTGTACCCTGTAGCATCCTCAGCACGAGCCATGTGCTGATTGCGGTGAGGGAACTCGTCGTGGTGCTGCTCCTGCTCCTGAACTTGTCGTCGTCGTGGAGCCCGAGTGTCTGAGGCCATCCTGGGTCGAGCTGCCTCTCGTGTTTCGTAGTCCTCCTCGCCCGCAAGCGAACATTCTTCGTCGGGTTCTTCGTGTTGTTCCACTTCATCCCGTACGACGGAACAACTGCCATGGTCGCATTCCTGTGCATCCGGTGCGTCGGTCTCGGTTTCATCTTCTCCCGATTCTGCAATCGATGCAAAGGAGATATTGCTAAAGCTACCGCGGTTGTTCTTGGTACCCCTGGCGGCAGGTCTTGTGGTAGTACCGTTTTGGAACTCTGTTGCTGGCGAGGCTAGTAGAGTGGCAAATTCCAGGCTGTGGTTGCTACCCGCATTCATCATCAAGCCATCGCTGTTGTTGTCACCTCCAGTTCTATTGCTGGTTGTACTAGTATCGTGGCTGCTCGTAATGGCGATAACTCTGGGGGGTTCTGCGGCAGTGCTGCTTCTGCTACCCCTCCTGTTGTTGTTGTTGGTGGTGGAGTACATGTTCTGACTATTCTTGTTTTCCTCTGAAGAGGAGACTTGTGCTGGGGTCTTGTTGTTTCTTCTGGTGGTACCACTGGCAGAAGTAGTAAGTGCAGCAGAAGAGTTGTCTTGTTCTGAGATTGGAGTTGTTGTGGCTGTGGCCTTTGTGGAGATGGAACCAGTCTCCCAACGGTTGCAGGTGGTATTACCTATGCAGCTGTTGCTGTTGGTCATCCTCAACAAGACGGTCGATTATTGATGATAACAGGAAGGAGGCTACTGTCTTTTTGAAGGTGACCAGGTCGTGCCAATCGAATGAGGGATGTTCCGCAATGGTGGGTGTTTCATAACAAGAGGGGCAGCTGTAGCCCCTGTTCTCTTGCTTCTATCTATGGGTAGATGCCGCCACAAAATGTTGCTGCTATTGCCAGCCAGATAGCTACAGTAGCTAGCCAGAGCTACACAAACAGGTAGACAGTAAAGACAGTACTAGCTAGTACTACTGGTTCCAGCCACGCACAGCAACAAATTAACAAGGCTGTAGGCTTCGGTAGATAAGATAGATAGGTCATCTATCTGAATGGTTGGAGATAATATTATTGCTTCCTGATTTCTCAGAGGCAATTGGAGGAGGAGCAGAATCTTTCGATATTTCAACCATTGAGAGAATGAGAAATAGGGGGATGGAGAAAATGATCCATTATTAGGGACGCTACGAACCCCAACGTCAACCCCTGGAACCATTTAAGGGCACCTCACCTCCCTGTCTTTCACGGCTTCCGCCAGTTTTCGGACGAAGTTCATGCATGTGCCATCGTAAACTTACGCTTACCGTACGCCTTGTCTACAAGATATATATCAAGAATTCTCGGTAAAGTTGCACCAGTTTTTCACATACATCCGCCATTCATCACAGGATGGACTATAATGCTGATTTGTGTATCTTTGCCCCTGATGATCAACCACCAGAGCAACTAACTTAGCATCTTTTGTCTTTTGTTATTATAAAGTAGAAATTCTTGTAGGCAGCGATAGCTGTGAGGTACTTCCAAGCTGTTTTAGCGCTCTTTTAGTATGCATACGGTACAGTACCAGCAAGCAGCATCGCATCTCTTAGACTAGAGAAAGCTTTGCGATTTGTTATCTCTATTCTTTGCTTCGATTTGAGATCTCTTTTTCAAGCCATCGTATCATCTCTTGATAATTGTTACTGAGCATCTATCTTAGCTCTACACGTGTACTAGCTAGCTAGTCTAGCTAGCAACTTCATATATGGTTCCTGGTTCCTTGTAGTACCGGTACCAGGCACCGGCCATGGCAAACTTGGAAAATACTGTATGATTGCTAGAGCTAGATTTAGCTAACTATCTACGTGTTGTAGCTAGCCAGTGCCGTCCGTTCCCCAGCTTTTCTTTTCGTATCTTATATTCAAGGTCTAAGGCTTCAACGATGACCTGTTTGGAAATGGAAAACGATAATGGGGAGGAACTCCAGGGACTCATGCTTATGTGCTACAAATGTCCAAAGCGGCATAATGGTCAAGAAGAACGTAAGAAGCAGCTCGTGGATTGTTAGTTGTTACTCAGTAGTTGCTGTTTAGTGGCTGCGAGGTGTACCACAAAACTAATAAAATAATCAATACTCGAGTAGACAATTAGTACCGGTAGTGTGTAGACTACTAAAATAAATAAAAGCAAAAATAAATGAGATTGAGAAACCACTGAGAGGTTGCCTGACGCCTGACGTATCACAAGGTTCTTTTCTCCGAATTCTCAGTCGGCCAGCTTGGTCCCGTTTGGCCCGCTTTGGTCATTGTAACAAAGATTGCAACACAGCCATAAAAGAGGGAGGCATACAGCTTAGTGGTACAGTACCATACCGCATCATCCGGCCAATGGCCACACAGTGTACAGGCTACTAGCTAGCCAGCTACCGGTTCAGTAGTCTGGCTAGAGAGGAAGGTTTGATTTTTTTAAGAAGTATGGCACAGTCTTGGCTGCATGTAATGGTAAGCCATATCCCAGAAATCACCGGTGACAATTGCAATAGACGCACCGCATCCACTGCCAGGCAGCCAGCCAATGCAACGCAGCCGCCACTGCCAGGACACGGTACTAGTACATGTAGCTGAGCTTGTAGCTGGTGGTTATCCCTGCCTTCGTAAAATCTAGCAAGAAAGAGTGACCGGACAGAACAATGCGAAATGGAACGGATGGTGTACTAGACCTAAAAAGAAAAAGAAGGGAAATTCGGAAGTTCTGTTTGAATGTTTGAATGACGAAAGGAAATCCACCAAGGAGCAGCTACCAGCAATGTGGTATTCGAATCTGGCTACTAGCTACATGTACAGACCTGGCTACTAGCTAGGCCTTAGGGAAACCGTATCATAGTGTCCCATCAAACAACTGCTGAGACAAACGAGGCATTAGAGGACCCCCGGCGTCCCCTAGAACTAGTAGTAGAACTGCCTGCCCCCCCTACCCCCCGGGGACGCCGGTGGTCCTGCATTAGTATTACGGTGGTTGTTGAAGTGGAAGGCCCTACTATTCAAGCCGCAGCATCCTCCTTATTCCTAAGAGGGTATACCCAAAAGTGATTAGTTGAAGGGGCTCCAGAGGGGAGAAGGAGGAGGGTTAAGCTAGTCTGGACAAAGCTATCTAGTTGGCTGCTTGCACATGTATGTTTTGAGTGCACTGGTATACCCAAAAGTGATTAGTTGAAGGGGCTCCAGAGGCATCCTCTTATTCCTAAGAGGGTATACCCAAAAGTGATTAGTTGAAGGGCTCCAGAGGGGAGAAGAGGAGGGTTAAGCTAGTTGGACAAAGCTATCTAGTTGGCTGCTTGCACATGTATGTTTTGAGTGCACTGGTATACCCAAAAGTATTAGTTGAAGGGGCTCCAGAGGGGAGAAGGAGGAGGGTTAAGCTAGTCTGACAAAGCTATCTAGTTGGCTGCTTGCACATGTATGTTTTGAGTCACTGGTATACCCAAAAGTGATTAGTTGAAGGGCTCCAGAGGGAGAAGGAGGAGGGTTAAGCTAGTCTGGCAAAGCTATCTAGTGGCGCTGCACATGTTTTGAGTGCACTGGTATACCCAAAAGTGATTAGTTGAAGGGGCTCCAGAGGGGGAAGGAGGAGGGTTAAGCTAGTCTGGACAAAGCTATCTAGTTGGCTGCTTGCACATGTATGTTTTGAGTGCACTGGTATACCAAAAGTGATTAGTGAAGGGCTCCAGAGGGGAGAAGGAGAGGGTTAAGCTAGTCTGGAAAAAGCTATCTAGTTGGCTGCCTGCACATGTATGTTTTGAGTGCACTGGTATACCAAAAGTATTAGTTGAAGGGGCTCCAGAGGGGAGAGGAGGAGGGTTAAGCTAGTCTGGACAAAGCTATCTAGTTGGCTGCCTGCACATGTATGTTTTGAGTGCACTGGTATACCCAAAAGTGATTATTGAAGGGGCTCCAGAGGGGAGAAGGAGGAGGGTTAAGCTAGTCTGGACAAAGCTATCTAGTTGGCTGCTGCACATGTATGTTTTGAGTGCATGGTATACCCAAAAGTGATAGTTGAAGGGGCTCCAGAGGGGAGAAGGAGGAGGGTTAGCTAGTCTGGACAAAGCTATCTAGTTGGCTGCTTGCACATGTATCTCTGGAGCCCTTCACTAATCACTTTTGGGTATACCAGTGCACTCAAAACATACATGTGCAAGCAGCCAACTAGATAGCTTTGTCCAGACTAGCTTACCCTCCTCCTTCTCCCCTCTGGAGCCCCTTCAACTAATCACTTTTGGGTATACCCTCTTAGGAATAAGGAGGATGCTGCGGCTTGAATAGTAGGGCCTTCCACTTCAACAACCACCGTAATACTAATGCAGGACCACCGGCGTCCCCGGGGGGTAGGGGGGGCAGGCAGTTCTACTACTAGTTCTAGGGGACGCCGGGGGTCCTCTAATGCCTCGTTTGTCTCAGCAGTTGTTTGATGGGACACTATGATACGGTTTCCCTAAGGCCTAGCTAGTAGCCAGGTCTGTACATGTAGCTAGTAGCCAGATTCGAATACCACATTGCTGGTAGCTGCTCCTTGGTGGATTTCCTTTCGTCATTCAAACATTAAACAGAACTTCCGAATTTCCCTTCTTTTTCTTTTTAGGTCTAGTACACCATCCGTTCCATTTCGCATTGTTCTGTCCGGTCACTCTTTCTTGCTAGATTTTACGAAGGCAGGGATAACCACCAGCTACAAGCTCAGCTACATGTACTAGTACCGTGTCCTGGCAGTGGCGGCTGCGTTGCATTGGCTGGCTGCCTGGCAGTGGATGCGGTGCGTCTATTGCAATTGTCACCGGTGATTTCTGGGATATGGCTTACCATTACATGCAGCCAAGACTGTGCCATACTTCTTAAAAAAATCAAACCTTCCTCTCTAGCCAGACTACTGAACCGGTAGCTGGCTAGCTAGTACTGTACATGTGTGGCCATTGCCGGATGATGGCGTATGGTACTGTACCACTAAGCTGTATGCCTCCCTCTTTTATGGCTGTGTTGCAATCTTTGTTACAATGACCAAAGCGGGCCAAACGGGACCAAGCTGGCCGACTGAGAATTCGGAGAAAAGAACCTTGTGATACGTCAGGCGTCAGGCAACCTCTCAGTGGTTTCTCAATCTCATTTATTTTTGCTTTTATTTATTTTAGTAGTCTACACACTACCGGTACTAATTGTCTACTCGAGTATTGATTATTTTATTAGTTTTGTGGTACACCTCGCAGCCACTAAACAGCAACTACTGAGTAACAACTAACAATCCACGAGCTGCTTCTTACGTTCTTCTTGACCATTATGCCGCTTTGGACATTTGTAGCACATAAGCATGAGTCCCTGGAGTTCCTCCCCATTATCGTTTTCCATTTCCAAACAGGTCATCGTTGAAGCCTTAGACCTTGAATATAAGATACGAAAAGAAAAGCTGGGGAACGGACGGCACTGGCTAGCTACAACACGTAGATAGTTAGCTAAATCTAGCTCTAGCAATCATACAGTATTTTCCAAGTTTGCCATGGCCGGTGCCTGGTACCGGTACTACAAGGAACCAGGAACCATATATGAAGTTGCTAGCTAGACTAGCTAGCTAGTACACACGTGAGAGCTAAGATAGATGCTCAGTAACAATTATCAAGAGATGATACGATGGCTTGAAAAAGAGATCTCAAATCGAAGCAAAGAATAGAGATAACAAATCGCAAAGCTTTCTCTAGTCTAAGAGATGCGATGCTGCTTGCTGGTACTGTACCGTATGCATACTAAAAGAGCGCTAAAACAGCTTGGAAGTACCTCACAGCTATCGCTGCCTACAAGAATTTCTACTTTATAATAACAAAAGACAAAAGATGCTAAGTTAGTTGCTCTGGTGGTTGATCATCAGGGGCAAAGATACACAAATCAGCATTATAGTCCATCCTGTGATGAATGGCGGATGTATGTGAAAAACTGGTGCAACTTTACCGAGAATTCTTGATATATATCTTGTAGACAAGGCGTACGGTAAGCGTAAGTTTACGATGGCACATGCATGAACTTCGTCCGAAAACTGGCGGAAGCCGTGAAAGACAGGGAGGTGAGGTGCCCTTAAATGGTTCCAGGGGTTGACGTTGGGGTTCGTAGCGTCCCTAATAATGGATCATTTTCTCCATCCCCCTATTTCTCATTCTCTCAATGGTTGAAATATCGAAAGATTCTGCTCCTCCTCCAATTGCCTCTGAGAAATCAGGAAGCAATAATATTATCTCCAACCATTCAGATAGATGACCTATCTATCTTATCTACCGAAGCCTACAGCCTTGTTAATTTGTTGCTGTGCGTGGCTGGAACCAGTAGTACTAGCTAGTACTGTCTTTACTGTCTACCTGTTTGTGTAGCTCTGGCTAGCTACTGTAGCTATCTGGCTGGCAATAGCAGCAACATTTTGTGGCGGCATCTACCCATAGATAGAAGCAAGAGAACAGGGGCTACAGCTGCCCCTCTTGTTATGAAACACCCACCATTGCGGAACATCCCTCATTCGATTGGCACGACCTGGTCACCTTCAAAAAGACAGTAGCCTCCTTCCTGTTATCATCAATAATCGACCGTCTTGTTGAGGATGACCAACAGCAACAGCTGCATAGGTAATACCACCTGCAACCGTTGGGAGACTGGTTCCATCTCCACAAAGGCCACAGCCACAACAACTCCAATCTCAGAACAAGACAACTCTTCTGCTGCACTTACTACTTCTGCCAGTGGTACCACCAGAAGAAACAACAAGACCCCAGCACAAGTCTCCTCTTCAGAGGAAAACAAGAATAGTCAGAACATTACTCCACCACCAACAACAACAACAGGAGGGGTAGCAGAAGCAGCACTGCCGCAGAACCCCCCAGAGTTATCGCCATTACGAGCAGCCACGATACTAGTACAACCAGCAATAGAACTGGAGGTGACAACAACAGCGATGGCTTGATGATGAATGCGGGTAGCAACCACAGCCTGGAATTTGCCACTCTACTAGCCTCGCCAGCAACAGAGTTCCAAAACGGTACTACCACAAGACCTGCCGCCAGGGGTACCAAGAACAACCGCGGTAGCTTTAGCAATATCTCCTTTGCATCGATTGCAGAATCGGGAGAAGATGAAACCGAGACCGACGCACCGGATGCACAGGAATGCGACCATGGCAGTTGTTCCGTCGTACGGGATGAAGTGGAACAACACGAAGAACCCGACGAAGAATGTTCGCTTGCGGGCGAGGAGGACTACGAAACACGAGAGGCAGCTCGACCCAGGATGGCCTCAGACACTCGGGCTCCACGACGACGACAAGTTCAGGAGCAGGAGCAGCACCACGACGAGTTCCCTCACCGCAATCAGCACATGGCTCGTGCTGAGGATGCTACAGGGTACACGACGGCGGTTGCAGAGATGAAACAGGCCGTCGAGCAACAGATTTGCCATGCCCTTCAACACGTGACGAACGTGAGCATGAGACAGAGGAGAAGCGCCTCGAGTGCACAAGTGTCATCGGACTATTGGAAAGGACTCTTGGTAGGCATGTTCCTGGTGCAAGCAATCTTTGTACCGGTGTGGGCTGCCTGGGCTGCTGGAGGTGGAGGTGGTGCCGATTCGGGTATCGTGTTTGCGTTTCTTCAAGGTAGCATTTGGAAGTTGATTGTCTTGATTGTGTCCGGGGTTGGCTTTGTCGTGGTGGCCCTGATTGCCATTCAGTACGATTGTGCTCTCCAAGACGAACTACAAGAACTACGACGACTCGCTGCTACTGCTACTGCTGGTAGTGGTACCGATAGTGGTGATGGTGCACACACAAGAACTACTGGTACTCGTCGTCATGCATCTGGTTCCAGAACTGGTTCCAGAACAAGTAGTACCACCGTTACTCCCATCGCATCGAACCCGCCCGCGGAACAATCCACGTCGGGCCGGGCGTTGTCCGAACGATTGACGACGAGGAGTACGACGAGAAGAGTTGCGACACAGCCACAGCAGGAGACTCCACCAAGGTCGGTTCCTCCGGCAGCCACCGTACGGTGGGCTGCCGAGGGCGCAGCAGGACAAGCTAGTGTAGCACCGGACCCTTCGTCGCAAAGACGACGACGACGGCAGCAGGAGCAGCAACCACAGCGCCGGCAGGAGCAGCAACCACAGCAACCGCGACGAGAGGAGGAACCGCGGTCGCAAAGACCACAAAGCCAACAAAATAATAGTGTCGTGGCACAAGCGGTGTCCGTAGCTCCGGGCGAAAACAATAGTGTGTCCGAAACCGTGCCCTCGACGGCTTCGGTACACGAGGAGGACCAAGAACCTACTGAAGTCGTGGCAACTCCTACGAGGAACAACCACGAAGACGTCGTCCGGTTTGAAGAAGAAGAAAAGGAGCCGGAACGTGACGATTGCAGGGGATTTGACAATCGTGACAAACAAGAGGGCGACCGACCACCATCCGGCATGGTTGTCACCTCCAGTCATACCATCATGCCCACTCAGACCACCACCAGCACAAGTAGGCAAATGTCCTTCAACAACCGATCCATGACAATGTCCTTGTCGTCGCACACATCGCAAAACATGGATCATCCCACCCCGGCGACTGGTGGTGCTCGAGATGATGATTCCTTGACGGCGCCCACCAAAGAAATTACATGTGCTCAATCCACGTCTCAACCATCATCCTTTGCGCCGCAATCTACGCCCGATTTCTATCCCGATGCCACGGTCCTATTCGCCCACATTTCAGGTTTCACGGCATGGAGCTCGGAGCGTGGTCCGGAACAGATCTTTCTGTTGCTGGAAAAGTTGCATAGACGCTTTGACGACGCAGCACGACGATTGGAAATCACCAAGGTAGAAACCACATCGGAATCATATCAGGCGGTTACGGGGGTTCCCCATGAACAGGTACGTTCAGAACATCATACCGAGCCACTTGGTGAAAGTCTGTATGCAGGCGGGAAGTGCTTATCAAATAAATCTCACCCTCTTTTCTGCAACTAGCCCGACCACGCTGTGAGAATGATAAAGTTCGCCAAGCAAATCATGCAAAGCATGGTGAACATTGTGGATGGATTGGAAGGAACCCTCGGACCTGATACTGGGTTGCTGCGGCTTCGGATTGGTGTGCACAGTGGAAGCTTGACG